AGCAGGTTAAGCTGCTGCATGTGTGACACTTGCACTGCACGACTGATACGGCTCCCTGCTCATGTGCCTGGGGAAGCGATGGAAGGTGGCCCAAGTACTTGGACCCCTGCCACCCACATGAGAGATCAAGATGCAACTTCAAGCTCCTGGCTTCAGCCTGGTCCAGCTCTAGTCATTGTGACCATCTGGGTAGTGACCCAGTAGGTGGAAGCTCTTTCTCTCTTCCTATGTCTCTCTCCAACTCTGCCTTTCAAATTTAAAAAAAAAAAATTATTTATTTTTTTTTTTTAAAAGAAGAAGTGGTTGTCAGTTTCATGAGGTCAGACAGGGGAAGGAGTTCTCGGATGGCAGCCATGTTTTATCATAAATGGTCAGCTGAGGTTGGGGCTGTAAATACTGAATAACCAAACATTTTTTAAAGGCATGAAACAGTTAATACTGCTAAACATGTCCATTTCATTTATATTAGCAGATCTGAGTCACCTTACTGTCAGTTTTTCCAGTTTATATTTTCTTTTTTTTTAAATTTTTTATTTAGTACATATAAATTTTCAAAGTACAGTTAATGGATTGCAATGCCCCCCCCCCATTTATATTTTCTTTTAAAACACTTTAGGCATGTATTTTAATACAGGTGGTACCTTTTTTAAAAAAGACAAAATAGATTTTTTAAATGAGAATACTATGTGCAAATCCTTGGTTTTCAGTTGACCTTCTTGTAACTAGACGTGTCGGGGTAGTTTAAAGCTTACCTAGTGAAATACCTTCTGTTAGAAAATAGAAGGTACAAGTCTGCTGAGTGTATGGGACTGCCTACTAGTACTTTATTGCTTTAAGCATTCAGTCTGAAATTCTCACTGTCTCCTCACTGTAAGCTCCCTCCTGTCTGGCTGCTCTGAGCATTAAATGCAGTGGTGCCAGACTTTTGGCTTTGAAGCTAGCTTGGCCTAAAACTGACAGTTGGCCTTGGACATTTATAGTGTTCCTGATTTGCCGTATGCTCATGGGTTCAATGTAGCTGTTAACACCTGCCTTGCATTGTTACATATGGATTACATGCAAAATACTTGGGTAAAACAGAAGACACTATGTTTAGTAGTACTCAGTTAATGAATTAAGTTGAGCTTGTTTTCCTTGTTCTAGTTGGAAATTCAAATACATTTTCCTTCAGGAGCAATGTTGAAATTGAGTTTGCACACAATATTAGAAATATTGATATTATGTTTCAGATAAATCATGACTTAAATAGGCTTTTAAGGACTGGCCAAGGAAGCCATAATCTACAATGTAGATATCTTGTCATAAGTGAATGTACTCTAAGTGCCACATAAGAGTTCATTGACTTTAGACTCTAGAAGAGAGCTTCTAAAAGGTAATTTATTACCAGGTTGAAGACTGTTTGGATAAGCTCTCACATAGGCATAAAATGGAATTTCTTGATAGGTAGTTTTTCAGCAGACAAATGAGCCCTTCTCCCTACCTTTGGGAAACTAAAGCTACCTTTTTTGGGAGAACTTACTGTTCGTTCTTGCTACCAATCTAACTAGTTGTTCCCAGTGTAGACCAGCCAGTGCATGCTGGTGCATGCTCTAAGCTGGACCAATGTGAGTTTTTCTTGGAAATTTTGAAAATTACAGCTGTATAAAAGAGGACTAATAGTACTTCTTAGTGGCAGAACTGAGAGTTAAATAGAAGGCAAACTTCAGGAAGGGAGAACAAAGCCAGCCTATGGAAGCCAAGATGCCATCTTGTCCTCATGGAGTTCTGTTTTTAGTAGGCCCTAAAGCCTAGCTTACCCCTCTGTCTTTCCTATCACTGGGTAATTTATTTTATTTTATTTTTTTATTTGACAGGCAGAGTTAGACAGTGAGAGAGAGAGACAGAAAGGCCTTCCTTCCGTTGGTTCACCCCCCAAATGGCCGCTATGGCCAGCTCGCTGCACTAATCCAAAGCCAGGAGCCAGGTGCTTCTCCTGGTCTCCCATGCGGGTGCAGGGCCCAAGTACTTGGGCCATCCTCCACTGCACTCCCGGGCCACAGCAGAGAGCTGGCCTGGAAGAGGGGCAACCGGGACAGAATCTGGTGCTCCAACCAGGACTAGAACCCGGCACCCATATGGGATGCCGGTGCTGTAGGTGAAGGATTAGCCAAGCGAGCCAGGGCGCTGGCCCCACACTGGGTAATTTAGAATCAGTCCGTTCCAACTTGCTTTTGCCTGTGCTGCTTCAAGTGCTATTTCTATTAACTGCCAGTTGAACAGTGCTGACTAATCCATTTGATTGTTTATACTTGGAATATTTATTTAGGAAGTCAGTGTCTTTGTCATGGGCAATTATAATAAAGCATTTAATTGCATAGCAGAACATCTGATTTATGACGTAGCTTTCTGAGACTAGTGGTTATGTTTATTCTCATCTCTATAAAAGCAATTGCACCAGTAGTCATCAGTAGATACTACTGACTGGAAGTGGGAGGGTAATGATCTTGATACAGGCTTTAATGGAAACACCCTAAAGCTTTTGACTTTATTGAAACAGATGCTTACCTCATGATGGTTCTGGTAGTTTTGAGTTATCTTCAAGAACTGTCCTCTGTTAACCATTTATGGTTAAGAGCACTTGTAGGTAAACACATGGGTGTTTGGAGTTAGGACGTGTACATGAAGTAATTTGGCAAAATTGTCAAATATGTATGTATGTATTGTCCCTTATGTAAAAAGGAAGACAGAATGCCTTTTTTCTTTTTTTCTTTTTTTTTTTTTTTTTTTGCCTGCGTTCTCTTCAGGGGGTCATGGTTAGGGGAATTGAGATTTTGTGTGATGACACTGTTTTGTAAACTCCACTTCCTTTTAGGAAGTGTGGATTTGCTTTCTCAGTAGCATTTTGCATTGTTGGAACATGTTGGGAAGAGCGCAGAAACGCATCTGCTGCTTGGGCTCTCCTTGCCAACTGGTTTGAACAGCTATAATATTTGTTTATTCTTGATATGTCAGCAGTCAAAGGGAAAGTTTTCCTTTCTCCTTTGTGGCTTTTATATAACTTAACCATCATTCAATCAACAACACTGACTATTCAGAATCTGCGAGGTGCTGGGGGACACAAAGCCTCTGAAACACAGTCTCTGCCTCAGGTGCGCTTTTGTTATTTGGTGAGAGAGCAAAAGGTCAGGGAGGTGCAGACATCATCAGTTGTAAAATGGAGGCATGAAGAAGGCACTCGGAGGAAAGAGAGACCCTCAGGGCTTGGGCTACAGGGGCGAGGGCTTTAGGAGGAGAGAGTGCGTGGATCTGGAATGGGACACTTAGTAAAAAGGTGAGAGGGTCCTTCTCAGGAGGGAATGGTATGGAGGAGAATGCAAGTGGGCCAGTTGGGGCATTGGGCAGAGGATTTTTTTTTTTTTTTAAGATCAGGGGTTGGAGAGGTGGAAGCCAGGTTTTGAATTTGATGGCAGGGAGACTGTGGATAACTGCTACTTTTTTTGGAATAAATGTTTTCAGCAGCCTTGTACCTTAACGTTTTGACTTGAAGTCCCAAAGGCATCCCATAAATGATTACTCCTTTTCTCTTTTGAGAATGTTCTGACCACATTGCTAATGGTGTTTTTTGAAGCACCAAAGGTTGTTACAAACATCTTTAAAGGGCTTGGCGCTACTCTTCTGGAGTCTTATTCTTCCTTGATGGAGCACCTACTCTGAATTTTAAGTTTGGCTGGATCCTAAACAAACTACAGACGTTCCCTAATTTCGGAGAGTTCAATTGATGACGTGTTGACTTCAGTGATATGGAAGCAATATGCATTTAGTAGAAAGTGTACTTGGAATTTTGATCTTGTCATGGGCTAGCAAGATGCAGTACAATACTTTCTCACAGTGCTGGGCAGTGGCAGTGAGCTGACCGCCCCCCAGCAGGTCATGTGATCATGAAGGGTAGGCAGTATTCTACAGTGTTTCATGTTACCGTTGTGATGTTTGGGAGGTTAAATGTATTAAATGCATTTTAGATTGAAGATACTTTGGATTAACAATGGATTTATCAGGACATAACACCATCATAAATGGGGGTGTATCTATATGTGCTTTCCTGCCCTTCCTCTGGCCCATCTCAGAACATCTGTGTGTTCACACACACACACCCACACACACACACCATTGCATTTTTCAGACTGCAGTGTTAGGAAGTTTGCTGAGTTGTTCATAGTTCATATACACGTGGGTTTTATGTAGTCTTCTCATGTTAAAGAGCTCCTGTCCCTGGTATAGCAGCCAACATATTATTAGTTCATCCAGTGTAATTAGTTGTAATAGTCTTACAAAGAGAAAATCAGTGCTCTTAAAGAAACAGTAATTTTATGGGAATGTTTGCGTAAAGTTGTCCATGAAGCAAATTGTTTTCCTTTTGATCTCCACTCTAAAATTACGGTTCTTTATCTGATGTAGAGAGGAAAGGTTTATGACATGAGGGCACGCTGGACTTTGACATCTGTCATGTGATGGTTCTGATGCGTGGGGAGGCACGGGAGGTGGGGCCTGCGAGCTGGAACAGAGGTTAGGATCCACTCAGTTTCAGTGCCCCTGGAGTCAGGGGATGACGAACGCCTGAACCAGGAATGGGAAAAATGGTACAATGTGAAAGCAGCCTCCATATTACACCTCTTGATGGTGAGAGAGAGGAGGGGCTGGTGCTGTGGCACAGTAGGCTAATCCTCCACCTGCCGTGCTGCTATCCCATATGGGTGCTGGTTCTAGTCCCGGCTGCCCCTGTTCTGATCCAGCTCTCTGTCTTATCCTGGTAAAGCAGTAGAAGATGGCCTAAGACGGTGGGCCCCTGCACCTATCGGGGAGACCTGGAAGAAGCTCCTGGCTCCAAGCTTCAGATTGGCTCGGCTCCAGCCATCACAGTCAGTTGGGGAATGAACCAGTGAATGGAAGACCTCTCTCTGTCTCTCCCTCTCACTGTCTGTAATTCTACCTCTCAAATAAAATCTTAAAAAAAAAAAAAAAAAAAAAGGGAGCTCAGGTAATTGCAGAATTTACCTTAAAGTGTCAGGAGATTAATATTGCCTTTATGAGGAATATGAGTCAAGCCGTTTGTCAGCTTTGTCATTTAGGACACAATCCCAAATTCACCTTCTGGGGGCCTGTTTGCCACAGGCCTAGCTTACTTTTGCTCCTTTTGGCCACAGCTTGATCTCCCAGCTGGGGAACTCCTGCCGGATGCTCCGCAAGGAATGAGGCACTTCCCTTAGCCGCTTACTGGCCGAGCTGGGGTTGGGAAGGGGCCTTGGGCTTCTGCTGCAGTGTGCTTGCCTCACTGTCCTGCTCTGGAGAAAACAGTGTTTTAAATAAATCTTGCTCCAAACAGATATGAGGAAGTTGAATTTGAGATCTGCTCCAAAGAGAAAGTTTTGTTTTGTTTTGGGTAACTTGAAGAAGAGTTTTTCTTCCGCTGTGGAAACTTGACCAGCCCTATGAAGAAACTCATTTCTTAATGAGCCCTCAGCAAGAGAAGTTCTATCATCCCCTATAATTGGCTAATTCTATACTACTTAAAGTTTCTTTTAAATGTTTTTATTCCAAAATAATGTTTAAGGCACAGTTATCCAGATAAAATAGTTCCAAAATCATACTCTTTAAAAAGTTGGCTTACCTGTGGGCTTATGTTACTAATAAAATTTCTGTTGCATCATAATATCAAGTCTAAGGATCCTAAACCTAAAGCAAGAATTCTTAAGTTTCTCAGCAGTGAAATAAAGGACTAGGACCAGGGAAAAGCAAAGAAACAGTTCAGCTCTGAAATTCTTTGGATTCTCTGTCCAGCATGGTGCTAAACGCTTTGCTTGTATTATTACATAAAATCTCTTCACATAACGTTAAATGGGCAGTTCATCCGCCTCGCTGCCGACGGTGAACTGGAACGGGGTCATACAGTCTCAGAGGTCAGATCCCACACACTTTGCACCTGCATCGCTGCCTCACTCCAGAATTTTTACCCATAGAACCTGAATGTATATCCACTGGTCATGTATCTATCATAACGTGGTTAATTGTTGTTTTCTAAGAGTGTTTAGAAGGCAACCTACCGTTTTCTGGAAGTTACAATAAAATTGTTAAAAGGCTTAAACCAAACAAACAAACAAAAAGGATGTAAAAAGCTGCTAAGTCTGATATAAATCAAGAAGGGAAAGTTCCGCCTTCACCAACAGAGAACGTGCTTATTGGTTAGGACTGAACGGGCTGACTCACTCCTTTTTTGCCTCGGTAGAGGGCCACACCCTGCATTCCAAAAACCCTCTGCTGTCCGGCCACACCCGCTGGCCTCGCTGCTGGAGCTCAGCGGCGTAGCGCCAGGCAGTGCTCCCCGGGGAGAGGCTCCGCGCGTCCGCCCGCCGCCCCGCCGTCCCGCCCCGAGCGCCGGCGAGCGCGCCGCGGGGGGACCGCGCCGGCCGGGCAGACTCGGGGAGAAGGTCTGCGCCTCTGCTGCTCACGTTTCGCCTTACGGTCTGCGCCGAGGCAGGCAGCGCGCGCAACTTCAAGTCGCAAGGAACTTTCCAGGAGAGGCTGCCTCTGGAGAGAAGAGACCGTAAGTGTTGCTCCTTCTGGGATGTTGTGGTTCATTAAAATGCTCTCCGGGGAGGCACTCAAGCGGTGGGACCTGATGAAAAGCAGGGAAGAAACAACCGTTCTCGCCTTCCAGAAAACACCCCCATCACAGTCCGAGCTGGGTCTCTCCGGAGAAGAGAAAGGAACCTTCGTTTTGTACGAGATCCCGCTTCTTTAAGGATACAATCGGCAAGGGCGGTTTGCACCTAGGAACGCCCCGCACAGGTGCTCACGGGGGGCCAGGGTCCCAGTGTTGTGCGAAGCGACTGCTGGGATCTAATAGCCAGGGATCAGGGTGGCTCAGTTTGAGATTACCAGCTTCCCAATGGATGTTTTGAGAGCTGGTTTGTATTTATAGTCTGGTGACCAGGTTTTTGGGACTCCCCGCTTCCTTCAGCTGCGGACCTAGGGCAAAACTGTCCCTGCACGAAAGTTCTCCGGGTGCGTAGAAGCCAGCTCCTGAGTGAGCCCCGTGTCCAGTGCTGGAGGGAAGCACGTGCTCCCCTTGTTTTGGAGTGAGCAGGTTGGTTGGTTCTTGCTGTGCTTTCTGTTGAGTGTACCCAGGTAATTGCTCTTGCGGAATTTGTAGAAATCAATTCATGGAAAAGAGTGCATGGCATCTGCCCCTGCCCCCATTGGCTTTTGCTGTGTGTAATTGTTAACTTAAATTGGACTCAGAGGAATCAGGAGCCCTAATAAATTCTTTGCCTCTCAGTGCTACAAGTTATCATCCCACTTTTAACTCATTTAAGTGGATGATCACTTTGATATAATGTACAAAGAAACTCTGAGCTTCTTTCAAAAAATCTGCTTTCCTGTGCCAAAAGTTAGGGAGTGCATCTGTATGGTACAAGTGACTTGGCAGAGATTGGGAAGTAGGGGATGGAGAGAGCAGTGTTGGGCTAAGTAAAGTCACACAAGTGTGACAGAGACGTGATCATCACCAGGGACCCTGGTGGTGTGTGGAGAGGCAGGCTGATGTCGGTCTGGTAGCATAAAGGGTGCCGGAAAATTGTAAGCAGGATTATAAGATTACGAGCGTAAATGACCAGGTTATGAGAGGTATCACACATGTGTGTTCATGAATACACAGCCTGATGCAGACAATAGGCAGGCTGTCAGGGAGAGAGGGGGAAAGAAAAGTCTTCCCAATCTCCTTTTTTCTTTCTTTTTTTTTTTTTTTTTAAGAGTTATGTGGGGAATTTCACTAGAAAGAAGTAACTTCTAAATGGAATAATGAAAATTGTTGAAACTTGAGTTACAGCCATGAACTCCTGGGAATGCTGTTTTCAAGCTCACAAGCTAATTGTTAAGCTCAATTGCTTTGCATTTACCTGATAAAGTGCCTCAGTGTGAAAGATGACAGCCTGGAATCCTCTTCCTTACAATAAACAGTGTGATGCTGCGAGAAGTGGCCGTAAAGCGACTTGTTCTCAAGTTCATGGGGCAACTAGAAAAGCCCCCTCAAGTGGTGAAAATGAGAAAATACTTTAAGCAATCTAAGATATCTGGGAATCTGAAAGGGTAACTAAATTGGGCTTTTTTGAGTTTCACCAAATGATTGTGACAAAGCTGAACATTTCAGGCTCTCCAGGTCTCACTCAGACACTGAAGTTCTTTGCACCTGTGACTTCCTTGAGTTTTCACATCAGTGCTAAAAGGTGGAGGAATTATTTCCTACTTTATGGTGAAAAAAAAAAAAAAAAAACCAGTCTCAGAAAGGTTATATAACCTACTCTAAATTGCACAGCTAGTTTACATTAGAAGTTGGCATTTAAAGGTTGTTGGTTTTCCCATGTGGCTCCAATCACTCCTAAAACAATGTTAATTTTTCTGTGTGAAATGATCCAGAGGACATTCTTGGTTCAAAGCAAATTTTTAAGTAATTTAAAAGCTCCTTATTATCCCAGTGCCAAAATAGCAAAGTTCAAGGGATGGTAGATTTACTCTGGAAGTTTGTGGTTTTCAAATATTAACTGAGCAAGCCCTACTCTTGGACGAGCCAGTTAACACACGTGGCTGCCTTAGAGTTGCCAATCTTTGTTGATTTTCTGCTGCTCTTTTTCTGAATGCCTCGTAGTTCTGAATGTATTCTTCCTGCTCCCCAGAAAGTGCAAATCAGGCTCTCTGATGGGAAAACCCAGAGCTGGATGAATCCACGGGCCTCCAGTGATTGGATCTTGCGGGGAGGCATCCCTGCCGTATATTATATACCACTTGAACTGATCTTAAGTTTTTGTTAGCACTGAGGTTGATGTTGAATCCCTTTTTTAAGAATGGTGATAAGATGAAAGGCATACTTTATGTGCCAAAACTTCACCTATTGAAAGAAGGAGTTGGGGAAGACTGTGTCTCACCAGGGCCAGCCAGTTCTGCGAGAATCCATCTGCTGGGAGTATCTGTTAGATGTCAGAATGCAAGAGAACAACCATCCACTCCTGCATCTCTTCTGGGCCTGGGGCTTGCTCCAGCCCCACCTCAGTGCCCTCCCTGTCTGGTTGACACAGAACACCCACCCACCTTGCCAGGTGGAACAGGGATGTGTTGTCACCTGCTTCAGTCTCTGTATCATAGCTGCCTTCAGTGACTTGAGTTCTTGAGAATGTTGAGAGAAACATTCTGATGTGATGATACACCACTTGGGAGTAATCTTGGAAAAATGATAGGGAGGGGGAATTGTACCGGAAGATTCAATTTTCAAAAATGGAAAGTGGTAAATCCTGATAATTTGTGATTCAGAGCTTCTGTTGATGTCTAGCAGAATGAAAAGTCACACTTCTGAAAAATGGATCGGGATCACTCAGGAAAAAGTGTCGTTCAGTATCTAGCATATTTGCTGAGGATCCCTCAATATCCAGTTAATCTCTTTTCTTTTGCTAGTTACTGGACAAGTATACCAGGGCATCACTGTAGATGTACTGTGTCTGCCTCAGTGAGACGTTTAGCCAGGTTCTTTACTCAAGATGGAAAACATGGGGCTGGTGTTGTGGCTCAGCAGGTTAAACTGTCGCTTGCATTGCTGGCATCCCATGTGTCAGTTCGAGGCCTGACTACGCAGATTCTGCTCTAGCTTCCTGCTGATGTGCCTGTGAAAGTACATTATTCTCTGTTGCGTTTTTCATTAATGCTTATATCAATCAATCTTTCTCTCTCTCCCTTTAAAAGGCAGAGTAACACACACACACACACACACACACACACACACGGTGGAGTGGATACTTTCCATCTGCTGGTTCACTTCCCAAGTGACTACAATTGCCCATACTGGGCCAGGCCAAAGCCAGGAGCCTGGAACTCCATCCAGTTCTCCCACATGGATTCATGGGCCCAGGAACTAGGGCCATCTTCTGCTTTCTCAGGCACATTAGCAGAGAACTGGATTAGAAGTGGAGCAGCCAAGACTCAAACCAGTGCTCCAATATGGGATGTCAGCATCATAGGTGGCAGCTTACTCCACTGCACCACAACATTGGCCCCCATCTTTTTTGTTGTTCTTGTTTTTAAAGTGGAAAAGATGAGTCGGACGGCAGTACAGATAAGTGGATTTGTGCATTGCTTCCAAAGAGGAAGGATCAGTAGAGTCACATCAGACTTGAGCAAGGTGACAGAAGGGTGCCTTGACCAGGGAAGTTGATAAGCATAGAGAAAAACTCACATTATTTTAGATGGAGTATTTACAACCAAGGAGGTGACAGCTCTGCACTTCTCAGAAGCATTGTAGGTAGTGCTTAAGAACAGAATCTGGATCCGAGAACCAGACTTGGGGCAAGTTATGTGACCTTTCTCTGCCTCAGTTTCTTCATTCATAAATTTCAGGTAATAGTCAGGCCTACTTCATAAGGCTGTTGAAGATGTTGAATGATTAAACAGTTCAAGTGAGGTCTGATAGTAAATGATATGTTAGCTGTTTGTCTTTTGTTCTTGCTACTGCTTTTACTGCTTTGACTGCTACTACTTGAGGCAGTGTTGTGCACATTTCTGCATCTGAGCTTAAACATCTGGCCAGCTCGGGCTTATCACATTTGGGAGAGGGTCTAGGTAGAAACCGTTATGTGGACACATTGGTCCAGAAACACTGGGCATGTTCACCTTAGTGTAAAAGCTGAGACGGTATTTATTTAGTGTTTCCAGTGATAGAGGTGGTCCTATTCTAAATTCTGTACATTTTGTTCAGTTTCACTGGTGCTTTCTTGAAAGCTGTTAAGAGACCTCTACCCTACCTAGGATTTGGCAAAGTTCTTTCCTGGAATCATTACAGTCATGAGTTGTGTGTTCTTGGGCATTTGACCTCACTCCGTGGTTTATCACAGGGTGCTGTTTTATCTTCCAAGCAACATTTGCCAATATCTAGACACATTTTTGATTGTCATAGCTGGGGTTAGGGTGTTAGGCTACTGGCATTCAGTGGGTCAAGGTAAGGGGTACTTCTTCTTTAAAACAAATTAAAAAAAAATTCCTGAAAGGCAAAGAGACAGAGACAACCAGCCAAAGACCTTCCACCCGGGGTGCTTCTGAAAAAGCCTGGAGTACACAGGGCAGTCCCCACAACAAAGAATTATCCTGTAAAACATGTCTTGAGCATTGCTGTTGAGAAACCATGGCTTTTAGCAGTTCAACATATGTGTTTCTGTTTGAGAAATTTGAATGCTGATCTTTTGTTTAGCAGTGTTACTGAGTAGCTTTTTTTTAAAAAAAGAAAAGATTTATTTTTATTTATCTTAGAGAACGACAAAGAGGTCTTCCATCTACTGGTTGACTCCCTGTATGGCCACAGTGGCTGGGGCTGGACCAGGCCAAAGCCAGGAGCCAGGAACTTTTTCCAGATCTCTCACATGGGTACAAAAAGTCTTTCTTACATAATATTTTCAGATATATTTTTATAATATATGTTATATAAACTTTTGTAGTATTTTATAATATTTTAAAAAGTCTTTGTAAATATTCACTTAATTATTTTGAAAGAGTTACAGGGAGAAAGAA